GTGGATGACGAAGCGGTGGCCGCTGGTGCTTTCCTCGACGCTGACGCGGCCGGTGGCGCGCAGGGCGTCACGCTGGATGCCGTCCTCCGCCAGGCCGTAACGGCGGGCGCTGTCCAGCACCAGGCGGCCGGCTGGATCGTCTCCACCGATGCGGCTCACGAAGCAGGCGTCCACGCCGAGCGCGGCGATGGACCGTGCGACGTTGAACGGCGCACCTCCGGCCACCGCGCCGTCGTGGAACTCATCGACCAGGGCTTCCCCGAGGACGGCGACGGAACGGTGGGGCATGAATGGCGGTGCGCGGGCGGGTCAGGGGATGCGAAATATTCTAGGCAACAGGAAATGTTTAGTGAACAATGGTTCCATCAGGGCTTGCACCGACACGCAGCGGGAGCCAAGCCGCACCTCGCGTCGCGCGGGCGGTCGAGGAGGAGGGCGGTGACACAATCGATGCCTTCGAGGATGGCTAAACACAGCAGGAGCGCGGGCATGGCCGACAGGGGAGTGACGATTCGCGAGCTGGCCGAAGCCGCGGGCGTGTCCATCGGGACGGTCTCGCGCGCGCTCAAGGGCCAGCCCGGGTTGTCGGAGCAGACCCGCGCGCAGGTGCTCAGCGTCGCTCAGCAACTCGGCTACGACACCGCCAAGCTGCGCACCGGCAAGCCGCGCCGCATGTTGTTCCTGTACAGCCGCAGCATCGGCTCGCTGGCCAACAACCCCTTCTATTCCTATGTGCTGCACGGCGCCGAGACGGCCTGCCGGGACCCGGGCGTGCCGTTGAGCATCATGTCGGTGCTGGGCGGCGAGGACATCGCCGGGCAAATCCGCCGCCACGAGGCCGACGCGCTGCTGGTGGCCGGCTACATCGACCCTGAGGCCATGGATGCGGTGCGCCAGTGCGAGCTGCCGCTGGTGCTGGTGGACCACTTCTACCCCGGCGTGCGCTGCGTGAACGACGACAACCTGCTCGGCGGCCTGGCTGGCCACGCGGCACCTGCTGGAGGGCAACTCCAAGCGCATCGCCGCCATCTTCGGGCCGCTGGCGCACTACTCCACGTCGCTGCGCGGCCAAGGGCTTCCGGCGTGCGCTGTACGAGGCGGGGCGCCTCTTCGACCCCGACTACGAAGTCATCCTCGACCCCTCGCTCGAGTACCGCGAGGCGGGCCGCGATGCGATGCGCCGCCTGCTGGCGCTGCCTGCGCCGCCGGATGCCGTCTTCGCCTACAACGACTCCACGGCCATGACGGCCATCGAGTACTGCCAGGAGCAGCGGCCTGCGCGTGCCGGAGGACATCCGCTTCGTCGGCTATGACGACATCGAGGAAGCCGCCCGCTTCAAGCCGCCGCTCACGACCGTGAAGATGGACAAGGAAGCGCTCGGCTACGTCGCGGCCCGTGCCCTCATCGAAGGCGACACTGCACCCAACGACGCGTCGCTGCCGGTGGAACTGGTGGTTCGCGACAGCACCCGTGCACCGTTAGAGAGCACGCAGGCGCTCGCTCCCGTGGCGGCCTCCCCCCGCAAGCGCCAGGCCGCCTAGGTGTTTCACCGCTGTTGATTCGGCCAAACGCCGAACAAAAATCGCGCTGTTTACTAAAACGAGCTGCCTCAGGCGGCCGAGGAGACAGCCGTGATTGCCGAAGCCGATGGGGCCACCGGGCCTGCGATGCCACGCCCGACCGCGGTGCCCGCCGCCGACGGCCC